TGAACACGCATTTGTTATTCAAATCAATGAACTTGTGCCTTGTTCTAGCGCTCCTTAATCACAACTATTAGGTCCAAATTGTATTGGCAAAGTTCCATGTTCAAAATGTAATTTTATTAAGTTGTAATTAGGGCTAGGTTTTTTTTTTTTGGGAGTATCTTTGGAAGGAATCAAAGTCGGCTCAAGAAGATCAAAACGAGGCAAAATAGCCCTATGGCTGCTGATGAACCGCCCAAGCGATTTTAGCAGAGATCGATTGCTCGCTGGCTACTTGGAGGACGCTCAAGCGATTGTGATATCTGGTCAAATTCTAGTTCACCATTTTTAGCCATTTACTATTCCAAACAACCTCAAATTTTCTATATTATAAATATACTAGCAAAATTCATCACAAACGGGTGTTGAGCCTTTTTTGATTCAAGAGAACACATTGTTGAAGATCAAATACATATTCCAAATTTTTCTTGTCTTATCCATAAGATCAAAACATTAAAAATCCAAAAGATCAAAACACCAAAAAAACCTCGATCAAATAGCTTTCAGAGTTCTGAAAATTCCGATTTGTGACGAACGAGTTCGTTCTTGGTGATCCACAAGGGGAAAAGAAGTGCGGATGTTCTGAAGGTGGTCCCAGAGCGCACAATCGTATAAATCTTAGGTGATTACACCTACATTCTTAACCTTAAGAGTGAACAACGTTACAATTCAATTCATCACTTTGACCTGCGAGTTCACACTTTTTAACCCCAAGTCTTTCTAGAAGAAGAGGTAATCATAGTCAAGTAACTCATCATTTCAGTCAAATGACTGACTTGATTAGTTAGGAACCTAACATGAGTAGTGATGTCCCACTTGTTGTTTCTAACAGGAGCTTGGGACACCTATGTTTTATGTGACCTAACTCACCACGGTTGTGATACGAGGGAATGAACCTAGGAGCAACTCTAGGTTTCAAGTTTTGGACCTTGGGTTGAGGAATCATATGTTTCACAAATGATCTCTGTCGTAGGACTTCCACTCTTGGTAGAGGCTAGTAAAAAGGTGGTTTTAGAGGATGTAGTAACATGAGAATTTGTTTCATTATATCTTAAACATCCTCTATTACCGGTAGGTTTGTTCAATCCTAAGCATTTTAGATCCCTTGAAAAAGAGCAATGTTGTGCATTGGATTTCTCAAGATCACTCATTAGAGTCTTAATCTTATTTTCCAGGGACTTTTTCTCAAGTTTCAACTATTTCCATAACTAGTTGGTTCTTCAAGTTTGACCACTAGTCTCTTCTTCTCTACTTCAAGATCATGTAGTTTTTTGAAGACGACCCCATTTAGCTTTTTCAATTTGAGACTCTCCTTAAACAGCCGGTCATATGCCTCTTGAATATCCTCTTCATCTTCTGATTCTTCCTCTAAGGAGTTAGATTGTTCTAAATCCTCATCTTTATAATTCTCCTTGATAGGTTCATGCTTAACTATAGAAGCAAATGCCATATAGTTCAAACCCTCCCCAGAATTGGAATCCTTACTTTGGTCAGCTGAACTAAATTCATTATCAATGAGAATGGCGTTCGTAGTCTTACCTAGGATTTTTTTATAATTTGGACACTCAGCTCTAATATTTCCAAACCTGTGACACTCATGACGCCTAATAAATTGAGACATTTTCCTGACATCTCCGGTATCTTTCTTCTCTCTTTTCTCTTTCTCGAATTTACTAGGACTACCCTTGTATTTTTCCTGAGGTTTTTTTATTATTCCTAAAAATTTTGTTGAATTTATTAACAAAATAAGCCACTGCTCCATCTTTTAGGGTGTCATCATTTGTTGTGTCATATTCGTCTTCCTTGACAGTGTTTAAGGCAATAAACATGTTTTTCTTCGACTGGGGTAGGCTAAGTTCATATGTTTGGAGGGAACCTACTAGTTCTTCTATTCTAAGATGATCTAGGCCTTTACTTTCCTCAATAGCCGTAACCTTAGGTCTAAACATTTCAAGTAGAGATCTTAGAATTTTCTCACAATTTTTGTCTCAAAAACTCATTTACCTAAGTTGAAAATAGAATTCAGTATGTCATTCAGTTTAGCATAGAACTCATCAAAGGATTCATCATCTTTCATTCTAAGTTCTTCAAACCTAGTGATCAACATCTATAGCTTCGAGTTTTTCATGATCACAGTCCCTCATGAGTGATATCTAAAATATCCCAAACATCTTTTGCAGTCTCATGTATGAACACATGCTTAAAGCTTCTTTAGGAGTCTTACGCATGAACACATGCTTAAATTCTTCACGAGAGATAACCATAGAGATGGCATGAACACCTTTACTATTCCAATTACACCAGCTAATTCATCCTCAGTCCAAGTGAAAACCTTTGTAGGTGTAGTACACTTGCAACAGTTGTTGAAGGGGTTGTCCAACCTTTTGTAATATTAATATTATGTAATATGAATACAAACCTTTGGTGTTTTGTAATATTAATATTATGTTTGGTGTTTTGAGTAATATTGATATTATGCTTATATTTGTTGCTAGCAATTGGGTAGGTATGTTATTGATATAATATCTTGATGGATTTTATTTCAATTATTGCATGCTAATTTTTTTTTTAATCTATTTTCACGTACCTTTACACTTGATATTTAAGTTGATGTGCTTCACGAAATAGGTTTGACAAAGCAATTGAGATGTCGTTGAGGTTTTGTGCATTTGATTGATATAGAGTGAAAGATCCGAACAGGTGATCGAAGTTCTGGGTTATGAAGAACAAGTTTATTTTTGATGATCCACGAGGGGAAAAGAAGTCCAGAGGTTTGGAGTTGATGCTGGAGCTCACAATCGAAGAGTTTTTCGTTGATTTCAAGTTGAAAGTCAGAGTCTACTAAAATTTAGTTGTGTCTGGATCAATTATGTATTTTCAATCTTTTCTAGTGAATCTTTTATTGGCATGGGGGTGTGCGGAGATTCTTTCTCTTGAAGAGTTTTTCAAGAATTTTTCCTTCATAAATAATTTTTGGTGTTCTTTATATTTCAACTTTGATATAATTGCTTGATTAATTGCTAGGATATAAGTTGTTTTGAGTTCATCTTGATTCAATGACTTGTGACTGTTATAATTATTTGTAAGTTATGTTTTAATCATCTATTCTTCTTAAGTATTAGTTGGGACGAACCTCATTATTTCAACAACGGCTTCAATTGGATGCCAACTCTTTTTTTCAAATAATGGGCTGGGAATAAATATATTGTCAGCAAAATTAATAAAGATTTATGGGAATTTTGAGGTGGCGCTGAGGTGATTGCCAACTTAAAACTAACCATGATGTTAAGTCCTCGACACTCTAGTTCATGGGTAGAGTCAGAATTTTGGTATAGGAGTGAAAAATGTTGGAGGGATAAAATATATATGTATTATGTATATATTAAAAAATAGCTTTATTATTTTTTATCAAAGGATTAACAATATATTATTTATTTATTATTTTTTATAAAATAAGATTAAATTACTGACTAAATGATTCTTCTAGTAAAATGAAGAAAATAAATAAGAAAATTAATTAAAATATTTCCAACGGCAAATTTTTCGTTCTAATTATTTACAAAAAATCTAATGGAAACAAGATTTTTGTAGTGGCATTAGGGAGATTGTCAATTTAAAATTTTGTCAAAGCAAAGAGATCTCCAACAATTGTTGATTTTAATCTAATTATTTAGTTGAACCGAATATGGACTGTGCATGCATTTATGTGTATAACCTTTAATGGCGTTTAATACACACAATTTGTGGGGCTTGTGACCACTACAGAAATGCTTTGAAATTTGTTTCACTTTTATTAGAGTAACGCTGCTTGAATAGGATTTGAAAATAGGGTTTTGGACATGTGCGACAACACGTGTAGCTAAGTTTTTTTTTCTTTCCCAAACTGTCCAATGATGTTGCATCATTTATACACTATTTTTAATTCCTGTCACTGAACCTATTTGTGTAGCATGATTGCTTTTACTATACAATTTCTCACGTTGTTTCATTTTATTTTTTTTCTAGGATTGAGTTGTCACGGGTGCACAATAACAATGTTCAAAAAGATCCATCTAGGCTCAGGACTCGGAGAAAACATTCCACATTTCCACCTCACGTGTTAGCGTGAAAATGGACATTCAAGACTACTTTGACCGTCTATGGTATGCCCAGACGGAAAAAGGAGCGCATATTTTTTTCCCTTTTTTACAAGTAATATTTTCTTATTTTGAAGTCTATTTCAATAAAATGCTCATCGTTGCGAAAATCTAAATATGAACAAATTTAAACAATGAACCCATCCTTGTCGAAATCCAGCCAACAAATTTGGCCACCAATAAAGCATTATTGATTTGGAATATTTATTATTTTAATTATGTTTTTGTTGAAAATTTAAAAAATATGTATAAAATTCTTAGGTTTAGATTTCGTCTAGGCAAATCTAGACTCTTGAGATGTCACTTCCACGTCTTGTCATATGCTAAAATCAAGAATATAATTAAATTAAGAACCAACCTTAATAGGTGAAATTATAAAGTGTGACATTATACAAACCAAAATTGGATGCTCGCTCCCTTCTAGATTCTTATCATCCTGTTGAAAAATTAATTTCATAAAAAGTTCCTCTAGCCATTTCACCAAGTCAATATCACAACAAAGTGTAAAGTCAATATCACTTCAAGTCCCTGTTGGCCAGCATGACCCTTATTTTTTACTAGGCGGACCCGTATACAAAAAGTGAGGCACGACTTGCATTGAGACAAAGATACAAGAAAAAGTTAAAATGTTAAAATGGTCTGTGTGGACCCGTTGTGCAGGCCGCGAGCACAGAGAGTCTGGCCTTGCTCTCCATACAGCATGCCCAGATTTACACGACTTGACACGAAAAAAAAGGGGAAAGAAAGTTTACCGGGGTCGACAAAATTAGGAAGCCCTTAATCACAATTTACAAGGTAATTAACGAGCTATTAGCTAGAGATAACTAGCTAGAACCATATAGCCTTCGCATTAATGAGCATTTGCTTTAGAGATCCATCAACATGGAGAGAGATGATATCAGTGGCGGAGCCAACATATACGCCGCCTATGAACACCGCTGGCACGGTGGGGCTGCAGCCTAAGCCTCTCAAGGCCAACTCCATTTCTCTCCCTCTTGCTTCTTTATCAAGTTCATGTACAGCAGGACTTGCACCTAATTCATAGAATAGTTGCTTTATGCTGTAACACATGCAACATGAACTTTTGGTGAAAATCACTGCTGCCTTTTTTGAAGCCAAATCTCTTATTCTATCCATTTCAAACTTCTTCAGCCAAAAAATTCGCTTATAAGGATCGATAACTTGATTGAACGACACTAATTAACAGCTGAATATCGCGTAAACTTTTGGTGTTCTTTGTGTATTTGTGTATGACTGTGTGTAGTTTGAGCTTTCATCATCCTTATTTATAGAGGTAGTTGATAGTAATGGATTATTGTTTATCCTGAAGAGAAAAGCTAGAAATATTCACATATATAAAAAAGAAAAGAGAAAGTAGGTTTCTGTCTTTTGGTAGGATGGGCTTTTCAGCATAATCTAGTACTGCATGTCGAACGTCATTGAAAAGTATTTGTTTGGAATAGAATACGGTGATGGATTACATTGTTTAATGCGGAGACGAAAACTAGAACTTTATAAGTGCGATTCCTACACTTATTTGGGGCCATCAAAAGTGGACATTTGACGGTTAATTTGATGGAATTACTACTTAATTAGGTTGAATATCGATTCTTGTAGGTTAAATTCGATGTTGGATGGATATTGATGAAAAGAATTGAAAACCGGCAAAAAAAAGATTAAAAGAGAAATAATTGTAAAAGTTCGAGGATCAAATTTTAAATATCCAAAACTTGATTCGGACCGAGGATGGATAATTAAAAATGATATGGATGAATTGAAAGTTGAATGACTCATGGGAAGTACAAAAGAGGACTAAAGATGAAAAGAAGAAGAAATTAAGGACCAAAATAAAGAGAAGGACAAAGTTATACCTTGCAATCTCAATGTAGGTCTGCAGAGGTCCAAAGAGCAAATTGCTATAGACATGAGATCGCAACGGCTATAACCATGCAATCCCATGGTTCATTCCGACATGTTTTCTGTTTTGTATGTAATTCTACCTTATTTTTAACCTGATTCGGAGGCCTAATTTCCAGAAACCAAGCTTTAAAGGGAGAACAAGATGTAACAAACAAGCATGTATCATTCCTACATTGAAATTGAAGATTATTTCTTGAATTTTGGGTGAAGAAGAAAAAAGGCGCAAAAGAAGATTGTTCAAAAGGATTGAATAGATTCAAGAATTCGGGACTTTTCGTCCCTTTTTTCCCCCTCTCTACTACTAAAATTCGATGATGTTTTACTTTTTAAAAAATATTCTTGTAATTTTACATCGCTCGGCTAAACTTTTAATTACTAGGACTTAGATAAGTCATTTGTTATGAAGTCATACTGTCAATTTCGAGCCTTCGACATTTGACATTTGTTTATCTTGAATGATTGTTTTCGTTTTTAATATATTTCAATTATGTAGCTAATAATTGAATTGATGCGTGATCTTTACTTTGTACAAGAGAAAGAATAAGGAATATAGCACGTGATAACATCATGGTAAGATTCGAAATATGATAGAGATACATCGATATGCCTTGCATGATTTAATTAAATGTTATTGTGTTTTAATGCATTGTTGCATGTTCGCATCCTTCAAAAGGTATAGAAAGGTCACATATGTTTAATTCTATTTCAGAGAATGTTGAACAAAATAGGAATATTGATCATCAAAATTATACAAATGTTGTCACTGTCTTGGATTGTTGTTAAAGTTGATTAATAAAATGGGGATTCAAAATCTTAGTGCTCGTCTTTAATCCACTGTATAACCGCTTCTTAGTTGCTAATTAGTTTAGTAATTAGATAATTAATTATAAAAACCAACCAAATCATATATTGTTATTCTATTAGAGTTAGTATTAACTAGAACCCGATTGATTACTTGATCCTCGTGAGAAGGATAATTTCTTCACTCTTTATTACTTGAATACGACATCGTATACTAGCGGAATTTTAACAATCAGAAATATTCAAATACATCAATGGGAGGAAAAGACTCCTTTTTGGCTTTTGTAAGATAAGATTGCACATTTATAGGAATAAGAAAAAGAGTTGTTGATTGCATTGTTTATCATGAACAGGGAAACTAGAAATTATTATTCACATACAGAAATAATAAAGAAAAAAAATATTTTTCTGGCTTTCTTAAGATAGACTATATAACATAATCATATACCGCATACCGAACATGCTAAAATGACTGTATGTTTTGATAAGAAAAGGGGTGTTGATGATTTGCTTGAAAATAATGTTGAGAAATAAAACGGATCGATGTAATATATATGATACGATATGAAATATATGATCTCAAACAAAAAAAAAAGAGGATAAAATGCAAAATAATTAATTGGTAAAGGAACGAAGTATTTTATTCAATTGATTAATATAGAAAAAAACTAATACAATAATTGTGTTATCCTATATTTCAGTAATACAAAACATGTGAAAAAAGCCTAGTATTTATAAGGACGAAAGTCAAATCCTAGAAATACCACAAAGATGAAAATAAGATAACAAATCACGTGGAATAAATGAAATAATATTTTTCCAATATTTTTTCAATAAAAATAGATGCCAAGAAGGAAAAAATATTTTCTCAAATCAATCTAATTCCAATGCAACAAATGAAGCTCCAAGATTTCTCCACTTGAAAAAAATAAATCCGACTGTAACGAAAAATTTGAACTTTTCAACAAGAACCAAACTTTCTCCAATAAAAAATTACCATCCTCTTCCACGGTATCAAACATGGATATATAAACTCAAACACCAGGTTCCCTAAAATTTACAAAGAATTAGAAATTATCAAACAGTGTCAAAGCACGCCATGTAGCAGAATAAACTCTCAATACTTTCATAGAAGGCCCCGACTAGTCTCAACACCTTCAAAAACGCTAAAAGTAGGTGCAACCAAATTAGCATCCATGTACCTATCTCCATGGGTCTATCCCTAGCAGTTGAATACGATGGAACCGCAGGTAATGGTGGCAAAGCGGAATTACTCATATCCTCCAAACTCAACTTAATAGTATTCTTCAATATGGACCCCGACCCAAATCTCAAAGGTAAGTACCAAACTGAATCTCCACCACGGTACTAAATTTGTGCTGGCTTTTTTTCACAAATTCTGTCTGACTTTGCAAGATGTATAACTGGGACATTTTTCGTTCTTCCAATACAACACGAACACCCTTTAGAACCCTCGAGACTCCACCTCCTCCAGAAGACGTGTAACCTTTTGAACCAAGAGTATTCAATGAAATGAGATTCTTCATCAAGTTCGGAATATGTCGAACGTGATCAAGTGTTCTACATGTTCCATCAACTAACTTCAGTCTGATTCTACCAATACCAGCTACTCGACAAGGTTTGTTGTTATCCATGACAACGACACATTGCGTCACTGTTTCATATGTTTCAAACAAATTCCGATTGGTACACATATGGAACGCACAAACTGTACTCAAAATCCACTCATCGTCAGGTTTGGATTCCATGTCAGAAATTGTCAAAACATCTCCATCACTCAAATAGTTTTCGACTATGTTGGTCTCGTCTGAAATTCTTGATTGCTTCCCATGATTTGCAGTGAAATTACCTCTGTTCTGCAATTTGTTGCAATCTCTCTTAATATGTTATTTCTTCTTGTAATAATAACGAATATGATTACTGAAATTTGACCTCGACTTACCTCTTCTCCGATCACCATGAACAATAAGACATTCTCCATCTCCGACCTTATATCCAACCAGACGCTTCATCTTCTCTTTTGAAAACAAGGTATCATACGAATCTTCAATGGTGAGAGTATCACGACTATACAAGATCGTGTCTCTAAACGAAGTAAACAAAGCAGGTAGCGAACACCAAAGGATTAAGGACAGATCTTCTTCATCATATTTTACCTCTAAAATCTCCAAATCAACGATGATCTCCTTGAACATAGTCGATGATCTTCTAATTGCTTGTCAGACTTTTAGTTATGCACAATTGCTTCAACTTCAACCACAACGCGGCTACCGTTTTCTCCTTCAAAACGTCCTAAAAAATATTGTTAGAGAGATAAAGATGGATATGTGAAAGAGTCTTTCTATCCTTCCGTTGTTTTTCATCCGTCGTTTAAGTTGTGGGCATTTTGTCAAATTCCAACAACGCATCATCCAAATCCATCTGCGCGAGTACAACTCGCATCTTCACTTGCCATAATGAAAATCTTGTATTTCGATCAAAGAGCGAAATTTCATACTTCAAGGCTGCCATCAATAACAAAACCTCGAACAAATAACAATCAATAGCTCTGATACTACTTGTTGGGAAATAAAATGAATTGAAGTAATATATAACACGATATGAAGTATATGATCGCAAACAAATAACAAGATAAAAGGCAAAATAATTAATTGGTAGAAGAAAGAAGTATTTTATTTAATTCACTAATATGAGGAAAATAAATAATTGTGCCTATACAATTATCCTATATTTCAGTAATACGAAACTTGTAAAAAAATCCTAGTATTTGTGAGGGTGAAAGTCAAACCCTATAAATACCACAAAGATGGAAATAAGATCAAAAATCACGTAAAATAAACAAAACAATATTTTTCGAATAAAAACACATGCAAAGAAGGGAAAAATATTTTCTCAAAATATTCAACCTAATTTGAGTTTAAAAAAATCCAACAAATAATCCTTTGTGGAGCATACAAATTGACACGTATTAATGTTCATATAGCCAATCAGAATCCTACAACAGGATCGAGTGCTCGAGTGGCATTGGGATATATTCTTTTGTTTTGTGGGGGAAATTCTTTGTATCGTGGCCAACTTTTGGAGAGATTTAATATTATTCAAATGGACCTACATTAAAGACTTATGGTACTGTTATAAGTGGGATCACAAATCCAGAAAGAAATGTTAAAAAAAAATCATGTAATTTATTTGTGGATTTGACAGATTAATTCTCCAAAATGAATAGCTTGCAATGTCAACCCCTAGAGAATTGGGTTCCTCAAATGGTTGTCGATCCCTCGGTTCTTCCACAAACAACTAATTTAAGCATTGGAGTGATTCTGTGTACGATACATGCCAAATCAACTATTAGTTACCACTTGGGTTTTCGAATGTGAAGATTTAGTACCTTTTCTGGTTGCTGTTGTTTAGTAACCTTGGCTGAGGTGTATAAATTTATGAAGGTAAAAGCTTATCCAATTCATTCTCACTTTAACTTTGGGGAAACCTGAATAAAAGAAGAAGAAAAAAAAAATTGGCATAAAATTCTAGCAGAAGAATAAGAAAAACAAGAATATCAGAAACAGAGTTTTGGTTCAACCTATATTTAATCCGAGGTCAAACGTGTGATTATTTCATCAAATGCTGATGGAGTGATTTTCAATATTTGTTTGATGTGATATTATGTTGAGCAACAACTTGTAGACGAAGTGATCTAACATTACCATCGTCATGAACCCTCAAAAGTCTCCCAATCTCAGAACACAAGTTATGACTTATGTAGCAAAAGAAAATAGGCTACTCCAATAGAAAGATTAAGTAGATAAGCACGCTCCTCTTAACCTTTTAGATAATGCAATTTAACATGATATCAAAGTCATCAAAAATCTTAGATTCAAATCTTGTTACCACCTATCTTCGAAAATCGTTCACGTATTAGGGATTTGATAAAAAAAGGAAAAAAATTCATCCAACTTGTATCCAATGGAGGTGTTGAATACTAAAAAAATGGGACAGCATCTTCTTCTTTTAATTGTATGATCATCGCCAAATAAGAATCCTGGCCTTGTTAAGCCAGGAATTTTTAATATGCTTTGGGCACACGCGTCATTCAATATATAGGTCCAACCACAATGAGATAGGCAGATGCCATCCCCAAATTTCAAAATCATCATCCTTTTGTCTGTTGAGGTATACTCTTCGACTGTTAAGAACATCATCTTTAATTCTATTTAGGAACTATTTTACGATGTGGGGACACACATCACTAAGGTTGCAGGAGATATTCCGGAGAAAGTTTTAGGAAAGCACTCCATATTGGTTCGTAATGTATTGTTCGACTAACAAATTTTCTTGACAGTAAAATTTGACCGATAAAATAACATGTCCGCCCCCTGTCGAAGAATTGGAGTAGTAAATAAGAATATTTCAATCTCCGCAGCAGTTCACCTCCTGATAATACCTACGGTGCGGGCATATAGAGTGCCACCCGGTCCCAGCTCTAGTTGCCGTAAGTAAGATAAGATTTATTTTCTAAGAAAATCAATTTTCTACCATCTCTTAAAAGAGCGACTTTGATGATTGCTATTCATTTATGATTTTACCTCACATATCACTGTTCCATATGTGGACAAAAAATATATATATTTATATATATAATACTTGTCGACTTCAATTCTAAATCTAACTGTAAGATCCCACAAGTTGCTGTTGCCGTGAACATTTTGATGTTCCCAACCTCTCAACTAGCCGTCATTTTTAACTTATAAATTTTATTCTGAAAAATAAATAACTTAAAAATAAGTTTGACTACTTTTAAGCATAATCAAACACACTTGATTGAATAATTAATACAACTAAAAACCAAATATATAAAATTTAATCCTCTCTCATGATAAAAATGAGGATTTTGTGACAAGCATCCACTATAAAAGTGTAATTAGCTTTGTTTATAGGAAATAAAAAATTCTCCCATTGATCAAATTAATAACTTTTCCATAAATAGTATTAAGGCATATATCTCAAAAGATAAATAGAATTATAGAATCTTAATGTATTATGTAAAAACAAAAAAGTAAAAAAAGAATGAGCTCTTTATCATGAAACCGACAAGGCTAACTTTTATTAGTACTAATTAATTTCAAATTTTAAAACTATAATAGCCATCATATGATGCCTAAATAGGCATCTTTTCACAAAGAATTATTGAGATGATAAGAATAGTAAGAATTCTTAACACATTTTTAGTACTCTAATTATATGTCGAGAAGTGGAGAATCGGTAGAGTTTGCAGCTCTGATTTTCAAAAATGGTTGAGACAAACAATTTAAACGCACAAGTTAGTTTATATTATGAATCAAATATAAACTGAAAATTTCACGAAGAATCACACAGCAATTTTTTTCTTTAAATTTCTAACTTTTAAATAGTGGTGTTAAAGTTGACTGATTGAAAAGGGTCTTGTGCAAGAGCCACACGACCTCTTCTAGGTTGATATAATAGCTCACACGCCCTTCCAAACTGGCCCATAGGACAAAAAAGAATCGAACGAAATAAAATTTAAGATGATAATATATTTACTTAGTGAAGTTGTCTCGATCTCAATAGAAATAGCTTAAAACATACTAAAAATAGAGATAGGCCACACAGATGAATAATGTTATGTAACCACGGGGTTTATCACCAATTTAGATAGTAGCGAATCCCATTACTTTTTTTTTGATACTCAGGTGTCCACTACTCACCACTAGAACCACGTAACATTATTCCACAAAGAAATATAGGCACTTGACACCAAATTTGAGCTAACTAGACCTAACATGATTGCCAACACTACTTATGTAGAACTAGATGTATAATCAATAATACCATAAACATTTTTCGTAACCATCCAAAAAAAATATTTTGAGTAGTAACTTTCAAAATCACTCCAAATCATATCATATCCTTTTCTAGCAAATAATTTTACCTGTTATCTCACTATTTTGGACAGGCTTCTTTGAAATAAACTGGAGAATAATCTTGAGCACAAGAAAAAGAGCCATCAATTGGATAACACCAAACGTCCATTTCCACCTCACTTGATTCTCAACCATAGAACTTAGAACACTTGTGATAATACATCCCCTTTTCCTTTTTTCCTTTTTCTAGTAGAGAATTTTCTCATTTTTTATTTTTGAGAATAAGAAGACTACATTTATATTCATTCCCGTGGATAGAATTTAGGTATCACTCATAAAATATTATTTTTTATCTTCAAAGATAAGGAGATAAAAATTTATCATCTCTGTTATCATAAATCGAGTCGAATCCAATTCAAAGAGTACTTATCTTGCAATACCTCAATTGACTACTAATAAAACTCATTACAAAACTTTTAGGCACTGCTAAATATAGAAATGTTCTAAAACACTTTCGAGTAGGCTAAAAAATTGACTTTCGACATTTTATGGGTTTTGCCATCAATAATTATCTTCTGTATGATATGCAAATGTAACAAAGTCTACGGGTCTAACGTATAACAGCTTAGAATGTGAGTTTTGCCTTCATCTTATATATATTGCACATCTCAATTGTACTGAGAAAATGATCTACATGCAAACAGTCTTTCTTGCGAGAGTCACTGGGCACTCCCCATCCATATGCCATTGAATGACTTCACTGAGACAAAGATGGACTATGAAGAACGTAGAGTATATAGGATGGTCTTACTTCAAAGATGAACAAAAGAAGACTTCCGTCCTTCAAGTTTAGCTCAGATGTAGCTCCGTGTACTCTAATACCATTATAAAGTTTACGAGTCTAACTCATCTTTGTAAAATTCACTTACATTATGAAATTTCTTTTAGGAAAAATTTCAACGGAGGTCCCAAATATTTTATTTTGCTGCAGATTATACCCTAACCTTTCATTTTTAAGGCCGCGGTCTCAAACCTTTATATTTAACTGCAGTCATGGTCCATATCACCGATTTCGTCCATGATACCGTTAGTCGACTGTGAAATTGCAATTTTGACTCAAATGGACAAATTAAATGAGGGTCAAAATGACATATTTACAATTTTCATAATAAAATAATTAAATAAAAAAACAAAAGTGCTGTTCATCTTCCCCAATCTCCCTACCCCTATGGCCCTCCACTCAACCCAAACTAAATCAAAATCCCACCTTGTCATCACTACAACAGCCATCAAGGTTTTTGGCAAAGGCACCATCAATTTTTGTTCTTGAAATCGTCCATTATCGGAAGAGAACATATACAAAAGAGACTTCACCATTTGGCGTTTCTAATTTAAATAGCCCCAATATAGTTGTTGATGAATCCAATGGAATAGATACATCTGAAGTCTAGCAGGAACTTGCTCGTGGCACTCATAATGAATCTTCTAATAGATTTACACTATCAACATCAAGTTCTGATGGAAGCGTGAGCTTTGAAATAAAAAAGGATGACTTCTCATAATCTTGACTCTTCGAGTGGTATAACTGAGGGAGGATACATGATGGAGCGTGCAACATCTAGTGTTCAAGTTGACATATCAGTTGTACAATCTCAAATTCTTGGACCTGGCAACAAAGCATTAAATGCTAATGCTTCTGAGCAGCAAGAATCCCAAGTGAGTTCGGCCGCAAGTTCACCAATAGATTTGTGCATATTTGTGTTTGCGGCTATTGAGGAAGAGAAGGCAGGGGATACAACTTACTTGATTTTATGCAGTGGTTGTGGCGATGACGACGGGGGTTGGGATTTTGATTTTGTTTAGGTTGAGGGAAGGGGGTAGGGGTGGGAAGGTTGGGGAAGATGAAAAGACAAACCAATTTTTTTTTTATTTAATTATTCTAATTATTTTATTATGGAAATTGTAAATATATTATTTTGTCCTTCATTTAATTTTTCCATTTAAGTCAAAATTGTAATTTCATTGTTGACTAACGGAATCAATGATTTGGACAACGGCTGCAGTTAAATATAAAGGTTTGGGATTGCGGCCATAAAAATGAAAGATTAGGGTATAATCTGCAGCAAAATGAAAGGTTTGGGACCTCCGTTGCAATTTTCCCTTTCTTTTAACCTTATATTACACATCAATTGTACCCCAATGATGTGGGACATGCTCCTTTGTTAGGTGCTAATGCTAGGTGTTTATAAAACTGAGATTTTATTGAATTAATTTTACCAGAGTTGATACAACACACTCAATGTTTACATGAGTACAAAGAGTAGCTACAGCTCACTTTTAACATTTTGTTTATACATTTTACGATCACTTCACAGTCTTCACTCGTGGTACAAATCAGTTCACTTGTTTATATAGATAGCCATGAACTAATCTAGGAACATTAGTTGGGAAATTTATAAGAATTAAATCAATAGACTTGTTATTTTCAAGTGCAGCCCTCTAGTTGCCAATGCCAAGACTCCATCTTCCAATTGCCAATATCAAATTTTCCATCGTCAGCAGTACCACTTCAAAAGTCAACTTTAACAGCATGTCCTATGCAGCAGTAATCGCTTAAAAATTTGTGACGTAAGCAAGAATAGATGGTGCTTAAATTTCATTTTCATATTTGTATTTCATAATCAAATTTAGACGTAGTGTTTTATTATTATTATTATTATAAGAAAACAAACTAGATCTAGATAGCAACCCACATAATGCATTGAGACTAGTTCTCAACCTGAGTGTCTATTTATTAGACATCAATGTCATGCATACTCAAAGTCTTTCAACTTCCATCATACCTCGATAGCAATCACTACAACAGAATTTGCTTTTTACGGCCACATAATGCATTGGAGACTAGTTCTCGACTTGAGTGTCTATTTATTAGACATCAATGCCACACATACTCAAAAGTCTTTAAATTTCCATGATACCTAGATAGCAATCACTACAACAAAGTTTTCTTTTTACAACATACAATGCATGTCGTAAAAGGTTCTTTACCGCATACATGTGAATGTCGTATAAAGTCATCTTGTAAATACTCACTTTTTTTTACGGCATGCATGCAATGGAAAGCACACCATTAATGAACTTTTTATGGCATGTAAAAGCACGCCGTAACTCACATCTTTTTATGACATACAAAACATGCCGTGAAAAAATGGAAATAGCGTCATATTTAAATTTTTTATGGCATTCAGAATCAGGCAGTAAAAAACATGAATTTTTATGGCGTGCATGAGCATATAACAAATTAATACTACATGGGATGTAACAAATATTTTTTATGAACAATTCTTTTGTCCAGCATATTAACAAGTGCAATCCACACCCTTATTCCTATATAAAAATTCCATAACCGAGATCAAGTTTCTTCCAGCAACCCTTAATTCATCTTCATGACGACTGATTTTATCAGAGTAGCTTCTTTTTTTCTACAGTTTCGCATATTCTTTCGAGCTAAGATCATCATTTTACGTGTTTTTATTTTCATCCTAATTAATCGTGATGGATACCGCAACCGAAAAAACATTGCTGATATTCAACAAAAGCAGTACTTGTTGCATTTTCTACCCATTAAAAAATTGATATGCAATTTTGGAGCAAACCCTAAGTCCCTACCGTTTATGATCTGGATGAAATTCAAATGGGCAGCAACTAGAAAGGGCACTACAGAAATTCGGACTAAATCCAACTGTACCGGCAGTGTTCATTGGACAAAAAATTGTTCAAGGGACTAAAGAGTTCACGAGTCTCTAGGCGAGCTCACCAAGACTCCAGTTGCTTTAGAACGTTGTCGTTGATAAGAACAATAATACTACGAAACAATGAAACCATGTAGATATTAAATAAGTAGTCGTGTAGCAATAGACGAGGTCAAGGGCCGGATTTTATCTCTTCTACTCCGAGTCTTGTGAGAAAAAGGAGTATTTTCAGAGCTTCTAGTGTACATACAAGTGATCACAAGTCCTCTATCTAAAATGGAATTCTCAATCAAATTTATTCAACAAAATCAATAATAGCATAATGATAATCTGAGCAATGCAAATACGAAAAGAAATCAATCACTAGGTAATTGATTTTTCTTTTTCAAAACGTAGATAGGTTCAAATGTGATGGAAAAAAAGCTACCCAAGTGGTTTTGAGGGACTACACGACGCTAACTTAAATATCCAAGTAGGGCTGTTTGTGGGTCGGTTAGGTTCGGTTCTGAAGAGAATCGAATTGACTCAAAACTTTCGGGTATTTAATAAATGGAACCGTTCGGGTTCCGTTCCGTTCCGTTTGATTCCGTACCATAATTTAATTAAATTTTTTAATATTTACAGCAACACTACATAAATACAACTAATGACATTTCATTCGTAACTTTTAGAAATTAACGTAGTCCAATTCAAAAGCATGTAAATAACTAGCAGTTCAATAAGATTAATTCAATGCATACAAATACTAAAAAGTAGATATTAATATTACAGTAACACTATATAAAGTACATTCATTTGATTCAAGCAGCGTGCCTGCATAAAGAAAAAGAAATATAAATTAAAAGTTATAAAAATAAAATATTTTTAAGTATTGGTAATACTTACCAACTATTTGATTTAATCATCAATTGCTTGACTTGTCGTGGTAAGAATGATTTGGGCTTTAAAATTAAAATTATGAAATAATCTGATTTATTTAATTAATTTGTTAATTTGTTTAGAAAAAAATAAAATAATTTAATTAATTAAATATAAAAAATTATTTAGTTTCGGTTCTTATTCGGTTATTCTATTCTTGGTCTAGACCTGAGAACCGACCCAAACACATCGATTTTCGATTCGGGTACCCTTTCGGGTATTTAACTTATGAAGAATCGTTCGGTTCGATTCGGTTCGGTTCGATTAGTTCGATTCGGGTTCGATTCGGTTCAGTCCGGTTCGGTTCAGGACTTTTGGACACCCCTATATCCAAGTGATTGTGAGGACTTCCCTAGCCCTTTTTTAAATAAATTTGTTAAGCACGGGATTGGCGTTGCGAGCAAGGATTCAAGAGATGTTTTTGGAAAACACATAAATAAATATTCAAAGTCTACACAAATGAGATTTAAGAAAAGTAATGAAGTGAAAGGATGAACCGCTCCAAGCAGAGAGCAAATTAAAAAGAATAATGTTATCTAAACCATCTCTGTAGGTTGCTTTTAAGTTAGTTTTTAATATTTATTAATATCATATTAAATATGACCCATATCCTTATAAATAGAAGCGTATCAATTAAATTCACTTATATCACCTAAATTAATGATTATCAGTCTAGATGTATTGAACCCAACATCACATTCCGCTTCTTCAAATTCTAGAATGATCACAAACCTACCATATCTTTTTGACGTAAATGTAATTATCTCCACTACAACAAAAATGATTTTTTGATGCCCATTTCATGTATTAGGAACAGACTCGTGTTTCCATTCACTACAACAAAAATGATTTTTTGCAACACATAAAAGGCAACATTTGGTTGTTAAATGTTGCTAAATATGTCTATCGCAACATTTAAATGAGTGAATGTTGCAATTGGTTCATGTAATTGAGATTTGGCAACATTTTTAAAATAAATATTGCAAATGTCACATTTTGCAACGTTTATAGAGTGTTGTTAAAGGTTTTAGTTATTGCAACGTTTTTTTGGCGTTGCTAAAAACTAAGTCTATTGCACCGTTTTAAAGGTGTTGCTAAAACTTACAGTTTAATATACCGCAACGGTTAGAAAACGTTGCTAAAGGTTTGGGTTTTGGCAACATTTATTAAATGTTGCGAAAATCTAACCCTTTAGCAACGTTTTTCAACCGTTGCGAAAATCAAAATGTGACATTTTACAACGTTTTTGAAAACGTTGCTAATAAGTTAAGTAGGATAACCGTTTGCAACGTTTATGAAACGTTGCAAAAATATCCCAAAATATCCCTGGCCCATTTAATTATAGTCCATCACTTAGCCCACAAAACACCCAATTCTTTCCCGCCAAACCCGACCCACTTAGTAAAAAACCTAGAAAGGGCTCCACGAATTCGACCTGAAGCCCCAAATCTCTCGACTCTCTCTCGATCGCCCTCGCGTCCCTTCGAATCGCCCTCCTCTCAAATCGATTTCTGAAACCCTTAAATCCCATTTCAAGTTAATCACAGTAAGATTTGCGTGATTTTCTTGGTAGGCATCCGGTTGATTCGGTTGATTTGGATTTTCTTAACCCCGGTGAGTGCCAAGTAATTTTCTTGTGTCGTGATTGTTTCCCGTCTCCTCTTTCGAATCTTAGCATTATCAGCTTGCATTTTCTCTTCTTAACGTTGCTGATTTCTGCAGGAGCCTCAAGGGTTTGGTATCTGTCGAGTACGTATTTTGCATTCACTGGTCTGATTTCCAGAGGAGAATCTGTTGCGACTGGTTGCCCTCAAGTATTTTGCATTCACTTCATCTTGGAGCACGTGGTCTGATTTCCAGAGGAAAATCTTGCAAGTATTTTCATTCACTGTCATCCTCCCCCAGCTTGGAGCTCGTGGTCTGATTTCCAACAGCCATTCCCACAGCTTTTCTTTGTTTTGCTTTGCTGCCTGATTGATTGTTGCAATATATGTTCATTTTATTTGGTTGGAATTCATTTGTTGATTGAAATATGTTTTTTACAGTAAGACAATAATTTTGATCTTATAATGTTTATTAATTGGTACTTACAAATACAAAAATTTATGTCATTGCTGGGATTAATTGATCTGAATCTTAGTTTCTGTTAATTTGAATGGAAATGACAATGTCAAGGTTTCGAGTGGAATGTATTTTTCTGCCTGGTTAGTAGTTTTCCCAGAATATTGTGGGAATTGGGTAGAGGTGTGGAGTAAGATGAAAAACCTGTTTGGTTTTGTTTGTCTTGGGTGTGGTGTAATATTGGTCTCAATCTGTGAAGACGATTTTGACAGGAAGGGTAAGTTTGGTTAGCTTGCTGGTGCTGCAAGAGAAAGTGTATTGAGGAACTCATACCCAGATTTTAGCAAGGTATTATATACTTTTTTCATGCATATTTTTAACTAATCCCTTATACACTCTATTTAATAGAAATTCGAGCACATATTCTTTGGCACAAATGTGTTTGCACCTCATTTGAATCGCCTCTGTTTGGTGTAATTCAAAGAAAAGTGCAAGCCCTAATTTATTGTGTGCAAGATACCAATGTTGTGTGAACATCCTCTATTTGGTGAATAGCCTCTGTTGTGTCAACAGCCTTTGTTTGGTGTTTACACATATGCTCACTCCATTTCTTTTTTCTTTTTTTGCCATAAAGTTAGATTGCTTTGATGATGGCTTCACATTTGTCTGTGTTTAGATACTGTCAACAGCACATGTTATTCCAATGTTACTAAAGAGGAAGTCTTCAAATCTTCTTGTTGACAAGAACTGGGCTGTTAAGGTAAGTCTTCACTTAATTTATGTGCTTTAGAAACTCTTGATGAGTTGAAAGCTGACTTGTGGTTTTGAACAGGTTGGCGACATTGGTCTCTCACGTCTTAAAACACGAAACATATTTGACAACAAAGACAGGGAAAGTNAAACACGAAACATATTTGACAACAAAGACAGGGAAAGTTGATCGTGGAACTGTTCATATTTTTTGCTTGGGAATTGATCTTGAAATTTCTGTGAAGCTAATGATGGTGTGTGTTTCATTAGGAAGCTGTCGAGTGGGAGCATAAAAGTAAAATCCCTGGAAAGATGCATGCTTGTGGTCATGATGCGCATGTTGCCATGCTTATGGGTGCAGCAAAGATACTTCAAGAGGATCACAGTGATTTAGAGGTATATCCCTTTCACTTTCTTTGTGTTCATTGCATGCGGTAAGTAATTAACAAATGTTGGT